CCTCTCTCTCATAACTTTCAATAACTCCATAGCAACTATATATGTGTGAATGTGCCTAGTCTTCATATTTCTCTGACTCAGAGCTTAGTGGTCTTGGTAATTGTGAGTTGTTTTCAGCACATTACTTCTTCATTTGGCTTCTCTGGCAACAAACTGCATGACATGTATCCATAAATATACTAATTTATCTGTGTCATTTTTTTAGTTTTGCTTTCTTCCTGGATATTAACTCCCTAATTTTTTCCAACTCCTTGCTCATAATAAATTCCAGACCAGTGCAATATATTACATCTTCCACACAACTTAGAATTCACTGTCTCACATCTGTCATTTGAAGATAATGAGGATTCTTTCACTACAAAATGACTGAACAGCATCCTGAAAAAAGTAAGTGACGGATTTGTTCTTAAAACACAAAGAGAAAAGTATTGAAAACACTGCTTCCAAAACAGTGTTAGAAAAGTAACATTAATTAAATCTCCACATACAAATAATATATGGCTCATTCTACCCAAATTGCTCTAAATTCAGTAATATTCTTAAGCCACTGTTATGTTGAGCCGTTTCGTGGTTCAATTTTACTTTAGCAAGCCAATAATAAAGATGATGATGGTAATCAGAGTTAGGTTTGATTGAGTGCTCACTGTACAACAGGCGTGGGTGCAAGTGTTTTACACACACATCTACAGTTCCCCACTTCCCATCTCTACACCTCCACCATGGTCCAAGCCATCATCGTCTCTAGCTTGAACGTTTAGAGTAGCCACCTAATTAGTTTCCTTGCTTTCATACTTGGCTCTTTACAATTCATTCTCTACACAGCAGCTGGAGTGATCTTTCACAAAGTACTTTAGAGCACATCACTCCCCTGTTTAAAACACTTCCCAAAGTCTCCCACTGTACTTAAAAGCCATCCCAAGCTCCTTATGAATACTTTCAAGCCATACTTGTGGATCTCTGGGATCCCATCAGCCATACTGGCATTCTTCAGACTCATCAGGCCCATGCCTGTTTCAGGACTGTGGCACCAGCTATTTTCTCTGCCTTGACCTTCAGGTCCTAAATATCACTCCTCAGAGAGTCACCCCGTGATGGCCCAGCCTAAACTAGCCACGCAGTCACTCTCTACCTATTGCATCATTTTCTTTGAAATCTTTGCAGAGCACTCACCACCATCTGATACTATCCTGTTTTCCTATTTGTTTAATGTCTGATTCCTCCCCCTGGAATATTTGTTCCTTTTCTGTTCACCAGTAAAACAGTACCTGGCACATAGTAGGTACTCCACAAATATGTGTTGAGTAAACAAATGAACAACTTTGTGAGCTAAAAGCTTTGTACTTAAAAGGAGAGGGACATTATATTTAGACATGAAGAAACCAAGACTTCGAAAGGCTGGGCAAGGCGCTGAAGCACAAAGCTTCTAAACCAGAATATAACTCTCGATTTTGAGTAAGGAAGTTGACAGAAGGGGGTATGTGGGGCAGGACAAGTAAGCAGGCCATTGATCTCTATTGTAAAATTGAGAAAAAAGTTGACTTATTTCCACCAGGCCTCTCTTTGGCAAAGATAACATCACCAGACACAGAGATGACACTGATCCATGGAGGAAAATAAAATATTCCAACAGTGGCATATTCAGTATATTTTACCTGGTGACAATATCAAAAGGTATCCTTCTAAGTCCATTTTAAGAAACATTCTGGAACAAGGATTCTTATGTTTTTGAGGGTCATAGACAACTTTGAGAATCAGATCAAGTTAAGCACTCTTTCTCTAGGGGGAAAAAGGACATTTACATACAATTTCAAAAATCCTTAAACCCAAAGTGTAGTTCTGATACGAATGGAAGAGTTTTGCTTTGTTTTTTCTCAGCAGCACAAAAAGGAGTTTTTGGCTCACTCTTCTGGGCAGGGCAAACAGGTGTCCTCCCCTCTCTGGAGAAGCAATTGAACAATGATAAGGTCCTAAAGGCTGAACCTTCCTTAAGTTTAAAGCAGAGGACACCAACTCACTCAACAAATATGTGTGAACACCTGTGATGTGAAAGGCATTGCACTGGGCTCAGAGGATACAGGAGAGCAAGGGGTGGCCCTTGCCTTTATGGAACTAACTGACCCAAGAGGATGGCAGATACACACACAGGCAATTTCACTCAGAGCACCATGGAAATATCCCCCCTTCACCTGATGCCGTAGATGGTGAGCACCATAACGGCAGTAGAGTAAGAGAAATCCATGCCATCAGACTTGGTCTGAACAAAGGGTTTCCAGGTAAGGTCCATAAAACACATTTTCAAATATCCTTCTTAGGTTTTGTTATACGATGTGCATGATTTACTAGAATTATAGAGACCATCTGGAACCTATACAACTGTCGTACTCAA